TGGTCTTGGCTTGGGGTATAGTGGAAATTGGACTATGGGGTTGTTCGTCCGTTGTTCGTTTCACGCATTCTGCGTATTCTCGGACAGCACCTCGTGCGAGGATGCGGACGGTGTTGAGGTCTGCTATTGTCGCTTTGCTTCGGACATGGTTAACGTAATCTGCGTCCCATCCTGGGGAACCGTGCGAATTGGCCCGCTCGTCGCTGAACAGTAGCCGGGCAACACCGCCTGAAGATTGGAGCTGGCGCTTGGGAGATAACCAGTCGACACAGACTTTGTCCCAGACCTGCTTGCCGACGATAGCGCCCTGTGTTTCCACGACGGCAGCGAAGATCTCGTGGAAGGTGGTTGGGGGGATCAAAGTGGCTTTGTGGTGTCCGGTGATTTCCTTGGGTGCCTCCACTTGTTTGAGGATGTCCGGTAACGGACCTGGGATGGCGGAGAGCACGCGGTGCATACGAGAGAGTGTTCGAAGCTGGAAGTTCCTGACTTTCTCACGAGTATATTTAGCATGCCACTCGCCGCGGAAAAGGCGGAGCAAGATGTCTGTGGCCTGAACCAGGTCTTCTGTATCTGCCTGGGTCAAGGTGCCAGTAGATGTCTTGTGTTTGACGGTGGCATCGAGCCGAATTATTGCACTTGCCAGTACGCCGATATTGATGTAACCCCAGGACTTAGCCCTGTGGTCAGTCAGGAAGTTTAGCATCAGCACCACACGATTCCAATCTTTTCGTGCGACACTGAAGTTGATCAACGATTTAATGGTGTTCACGGAGAGAGGAATCGCAAGCGATGCGATGACACGCTCCCCAAGCTCGACATTAGCAGTGGCGGCAGCAAATCGAAGAATAGATGGCGCCAAGGCCTGGTTGCGATATGCGCTTTGAGGGATGGGAGGGCCATCAATGTCATTGTCCAGGAGTAGTTGTTGGCCAAAATCAAACGCGTGGGTTGTTGTGGCCACGTCAAGGAGATTGGCAAAAGTTGCGCATGATAACTGCGGAATAGACGATTGAGAAATATCTTGAGGCTCGAAAGATTTGAAATCAAACAAGAAGGAAGCTTCTTCATCGCTGGCTTTGCTCATACGTTCAAAGAACTTTTGGATGTGTTGTGCCTTGCTTGCATCGGCAATATTTTGAAGCCAAGCATACTCGTGGAAAAGGCGTCCGCTTTGCTTGTCCCGAGCATAATAATTGAGATTGAACTCGATCAGGCCAGCCATAGCGGCGGATTCATCATAGAACTGCGCCCGCGTTTTTCCATCCAACACTTGTGCCAACCTCAACTCGTTCCCTTCCCACGGAGGAACAACATTGTTCTGGGACCTTAGGAGATGCTCAAAGGAAACAGGATCCGACGACGGTTTTAAACAGCCCGATGCCAATATCCGTACAATATGCCAATTGGTGAACCTGTTTGTTGGCCGAAGCTCCTCACGGCTGGAAACGGGAGGATCAATAAGTTTAGTCAGGGGGGCTGATAAATTAGTGAGATCCTCAGGAAGATATCCACGATCTCCCATTCCCACGTAGGCCTTGTTCGCCAAGCCGCTCCGCAGCGATGCAACCACTTCAGAGCTGATAGTTCGGAATCCAAGTCCATTGAATGGTGCTTTATCCTGGCCCTTGAGTGTTGGGGGTTTCTCGTTTTGGCCTGGCCGACGCCATGATTGCTCGATACTGACATTAGTCTTTTGTACTACATCAAGGTCATTTATTAGAGGCGCCCAACTCTCAGCCTTCCATTCGCTAAGCCGGGTCATTTGATGCACGAGTAGTGTTCCCGTTTTGCAAAACCCATGCTCCACACAGCACCATAGAATGAGCTCAAGCCAGATCTCAGGACCCAGCTCTCGAATTCCCGGTGTGTAAGGAATGAAAGGTGACTTCTCTCCTGCGTCAGCGGCCGCAGCTGCCACTGCTGTTTCATGCTCGTGCCACGCCGCATCGGACAGAACGCTCATTATGAAATTGGACAAAAAATGGAGCCCTGGCGGGCGAAACACAATCTGACTGGCATCAGGTTTCGGATATTGATAAACTCTGTCAGAGATCATGCCTGCATGGTGTAACCGAGCAAGAGTTCGGTATACACAGGACATCGCATGCTTCGAATCATCTGACCGACTGCGTGCAGCATACAAAACCAGAGAGCCGAGGTTTGCGAGTACCTCAGCCAAAATTCTGTCTCCAAAGAATCTCGGTGCAGGTTCCACCGTCAGAGTATTAAGAGAAATGTTATCTGATGAAAGATGTTTTAGACGAGACCACTTCCAAGGGGATGCTGATTTTGTGCCCCCCGTGAGCTTGCTGAGGGAGATCTCAGAGGTGAGGGGAGACTCCAAGTCGGACGTCGATTCGTCTCTGCGGCGCACGCGAAATGGTCTGTTCCAATCAAGCCCAGCCGAAGGGTGTCTAGGAGGCATATGAGGAGCTAGCAACTCATAGGTGTCTATCAGGCTGTTTAAAAGAGCCTGCACATTAGACCACTCATGGTGCGCAAATCCGAGATGCGCAAGGAGTTGAAATTCAAAATGTATCCTTCCATCCCATAGACACCCCAGTAGAGCATGGGTCCGATCAAGCTCATGTTCGGATTCGCGGAGGGGTCGAAGCCGCCTGGGCTGGCCTGCAGGTTGGGCGACGTCTAGTGGTTTGGCAACTTTTGTTGGAATACAATCCCTCAGCACAGGCATCCATTCCTCGATATGCCTCTTCTGGTCATGTCTGAGGCGAGGGTGTTTGATTAAATTGTATCGGCGTAGAAAAAGAACTTCATCTGGGTAATTAATCTCTCTTTGGTCATTGCGAGTTTTCCGGGTAAACTGGGTCCAAGTCGGCCGGGAGAAAGGGGACACAGATCGATATGGGAGGAAAGGGAGACGCGAAGCAGCTGGCCTGCGACCGAATGGCAGGATGCGGCCGGGGCGCAAGCACCTGCTCATGGTACAACGAGGCTCGAAGGCGGGTGTATAGGTTTCGCAATCTCGATGGGTGCGGGATTGGCATGATACATGTCGATTTTCACAGGTACATAGCGAAATATTCGCGATATTCAATTGAACCCCGTACCAACAGGGGCAAAGACCAAAAGTGAGGGAGATGGAGGTAAATGTTGTTTCGAGAATTTTGGAGATCAGGAACTGCTGAGTCAGCACCGAGCTATGAGCCAATCGGAGGCCACAGAATGCGGAGTTCCCTTATAGTTCCAAGGTAGGTCTATCGGGGATTGCCTTCTGGGATTTTCTTATTTGGACTAATGATATGTATGATTAGTACATTGCCTGCTCAGTAAGCTCTGAGTCACGCAATATATGATGCCTGAGCGCTGAGGGTTCTACGACGACTGGTACGGATAGGGCTATCTATGTAGGTTCATTAAGAACGCCCTAATATCAGCATCTACCCGCATGCTTACTGGGTCGAGAGCTTTATCCACTTCACTTCAACACCTTTGTAGAGTAACAAAAGAAGGTACGGTGGACAGAAATTACATATATGTACTTATTTAGGAATAGCATCCATGGATACTCCGTACAGCCTCAAGACCATGACTTATTGCCCACCTGACCAATGTTGACAAGGAGTAATCTCATGCAGTCCGGCCGAGCTATCAGGTCTTCTTTCAGTGGCTTTTCCTTCACCAGGAACGTCAACCTCTAAATTGCAGCCACTTGAGTTCATAATACCAAGCAGGTGTAAGATCTCCAGAGACATCCCAAATGGCAACACCTTCGCTTCGGTCCAGTCAACGACCCCAGTGATACCATACCGCTCGCTTCGGGATTGACAATGATGTTCATCTCATATAAGTCATTGTAAGTTAGAACTAATGGATACGTAGGAGAAAAGATCGCTAGGAGTTCTTCGCGGAGCTCAGAGATAACCTCAGTAAAGCGCGAAGGGAGTTGCTGTAAAGGTAGACAAAGCTTATCTTGGAGACCTACCAAGGAGTGCTTGGAGAGCTGAGCTTCTATGAGTCCATTCACCAATGAATTGGCAAAGAATTCAGAAAGATCAGTTACTCCCACGGAATGCTAGCGTCGGAAATACTTCACAAAATCCGACACTGCAGGTTCATGCCACGAAACAGATAGGAACTTCGATGCAGGTTATCCGGGGACCTCGTCCGTGGCAGAGACAGCAAGGGAAGGTGACGATCCGATAAAACTTGATTAATCCTCCGTACAAGCAGGCACAATGTTGTCATATATCTCCCGAGCAAGCCCCGAAGTTTTGATTCCAAGAGAGAGTCAGAAGCATGAAAATCTGTCCCAGCCCCATTGGCTACGTGTAACTAAACGCCCCTTTTGAACTGGCTTCACAGCTCCGCTAGCAATCTCAACGGCCGTTTGTCCGCATTCGTCCCGCGTGACGATGTAGCTAGGAAAAAAAGTGATAGATTTTGTCTTCGAGCGAATAACAATACATCTTGGGAACAAGGATTTTGCTAGGGCAAAGTATAAAAGAACCCGGGTTGAAAGGGGTACTAAGGGGCCTCCGGTGGGGGCTAAGTTTAGTCTTTAGAGTAGCCATGAACATAGCCTAAAATAGGTGCGTAGAAATTAATTGTGGAAACTGCAGGTGAGATGACCATGGCCTACTATATCGTATTTTCCGGCCATAGGACCCGTAACTTGGACCATATAGCGCGTTTCGATTGAGGCCGTGAACTCCCTTCTGTAATTTGAGATGCAAAAGAAGAGGGAATATCCCAATAGAAACCAAGTTTTGCATGTGCAATGGGCTAAATACACTGTTTCCTGACGAGTACATATAAGACCGTTTGCTGGGGTTTTGCCGCGGTGGCTATACATTGTAGTTCTCTATGTTATTATGGCTATGCTATGTGTTCCCTAATTTACTGCTCTACATGGCACTCGGAAAATTCTCCAAAAATGGCAACAATCTCTTCTCTATAGCTGATCCAGCAGCCACGGAAAACACAGTAATGATTTAGGTCACATTTGACACTAGCTAAGCTGCAAAGTGCAGAATCTAAAACAACATCTGACGGGCGTGACGACGAGCGAAGTCTCCCTGCTCACCACCAGCAGCAGTCGCGGCCGGGATAGGGAGAATGGCGAAGGAACCACTGGAGGAAGGGCTACCTCCACAGGGGACACCGGTAGACGAAGGGAACCCAGAAGGCACGCCGGTAGGAGTGCCCGTAGGAGTGCAGGAAGGAGTGCCGCTAGGAGCGCTGGTGGAGAGGCTGAAAAGCTGGAATCCATGACCGTGTCCTCCGTGGCCGGGTCCCTTAAGACCAGGTCCGTGACCAGGTGCTCGGCGGCCAAAGGAGAATCCAGTAGGCCAAGCAGTAGGCCATTCAGTGGGCCACCCGGTGGGCCATCCAGTGGGCCATCCAGTGGGAGTACCAGATGGTGTCCCAGTTGGAGTTCCGGATGGGAAGCCACTAGAAGGAGAACCGGTAGGGGTAGGAGCCGAGGCCTTGTTGGCGTGCTGGAAAGAGAATGTCAGCAAAGAATGAAATCTACAAGGATTCATCGTAATGTAGATACTCACAGGCAGCTTCCAGGCCGCAGCAGACGGGGCCATGAACAGGGCAGCGACGCCAAAGGAGGCGGTGAACTTCATACTGAAGTGTTGAGTTGTTGGACACTTAAAAGTGGAAGTGGGAAATGAATGGATGCTAGAGGTAACAATGTAAAGAAAGACCTAAAGCTCTCGAAAAGAATGGAGGTGCACAGCACTAGCTGTAGAAAAAAAGCCCCGAGAACAGGAAGTCTAGCTGGTTATATACCCTTTGGATTTCATTGTTGTGAGTCAAAATCCGTTAAAAGGCCGCGAAAAAGACCGCCGAAACACTTCGTATTCCGTGAGAGGAGTTGGATCTGCAGGGGAGCAGTTCTCATGCCGTGGCGAAAGAATTTAAGCAGGAGGGATCTTCATGGATGGGAAAATAGCCCTATCACCCGGAGTATAACATATTGCAGTGGAACCCGGAACTCCGATACAGATGGACGGATGGCCGTATACTGTGCGGAGCAAGTTGTTTCAGACAAAAACGAGACGGATAAAACGGGCGAATGACGGTTCTCCACCTTGTTCTGCACATCGCTCCTGTCGATCACTTATGTGTCTGACAAAGGAGGTGTGCCTTGCCTAGATGGAGATTGGCGGAGCCCTAAAGGCGGCAGACCGCGCCAAGGCTGTCTAGAGACATACACCTGGACGACATCGTATATTATTGTAGAATTTGAGAATATAACTTGTGGGATTTCTTTTACCCCTACAGAGTAGAAGGATTTTGATCGCTCGTTTATGATAATCTTTGCTGTAAATAGGTGTGATGTACGGAGTTAATATGTCCAGGCATACATTCTTACGTTGTACGCTTTTTTTGTCTAGAACAAATTGTATACTTCGTATAGCTTTTTATAGGACTCTGGATAACAAACTTTATCGTGGGGGCCATATCGCTTAAAGCCTTCGATAAGCATTAACTTCTGACATTATAATAGATCTTTTAAAAGTCTTAATTTAGTTGCCAGCCACTTTCGAAGAACGATCACATGGGAATCGTGCCATGCAGTAGTCAAAGCTTGCACGACTACACGAATGCAATTGGGAAAGTTAGCCACGCCTACCTATATGCGCAGTCACGATGTAACATCGTATTTCTATCTTAGAAATCTTAACGCATGTGAAAATTGCCAGGGTTCAGAGTATTTGCACCGGACTCCGTTCCCGTTGTATCCTGGCACGTCACTTTATCCATGTCAACATAATGCAACGTTAGTAAAAGACCGACGAGTAGACAAACTTGCATCATGAGTTATTCTAACGGGTACTGATCAAATATGTTTGGGACGAGCTCGAGCCAATCTGTTTTCATTTGACAGTACAATGTTGAATTGCAAAATTCCCAAAACTCAGGGTACCAGCATGACAGATTCCAGTCAATAAGAGTAAATTGAAGTCTGTGCCTGCTCGCTCCACAACTATATTCTTTGGCTGCAGATCTCCATGGGTAAAGACAGTTCGATGGCTCTTAAGGGTGCGGTTGACCATTTCTCGCAATAAACGAATATAGTGCGGTGACTGTGTTTGGCTCAGCCTTTCTAGTATTCCATTATTCATCTGTTCCTGATCCTTGAATGGCCCAGAAATAATTCGGTTGTTATCTGGCGTTGAAAGGACACCGTCGATGTAAGGTGTGCCATTCAAGTTTCCCAAGTTGTCCGGTGGCGGTATTGTTCGTAGTTCATTGATCGTCTCTTTAATCCGCTCGCTAAATGTCGTCTTCTCAGCTGTTGTGAGCGATGGCAGTAATTCTTGCAAGTCGGTCCCAGGGACAAAGTCCATGACGATATATCTCTTCTAGGTCTCCGGATCGACAAAGTTGGCGTGAACCTTTGGCACAGAGACCTTGCTATTGGCTGCAACGAATTTCATGGTCTCTGCTTCTAAGGGCGGAATTGTATGTCCGATCTTGATCGCAAAGCGTTCCTCCACTCGAACCACTTTGATGGCATTGGTTCGTATACTAAGGACATCCGTCGAGGCTTCAATCTCGGCAATGGTTAGTAGGTCGATGGTCGAATGTATCTCGTTGGTTATTGAAATGGATGTAGCGGGTCGACCTAATGAATCAAAAAGAACCCTAGTAACTGGAGTGTATGTTGTAGAAAAGGATTCTATGGGCTTTTCGTACTTTTGTTACCGCCATGTCTCGTGACAAAATATTGCTGGCCATCGGTCTCTTTGGAGAACCTGCAGCGTCCACTACTCTTGTGGAACCATATCTTCCTAGGCACTGAAGCTCCCGCAAAGTAAGATGTCTCCAGGAAATCATGGTCATATTTCCTAATGGTTTTCGATGGAATAGCTCCCATTTTCATCCTAGGATACGGGTGAAGTACCGGGGAGCCGTCGCATTTACTAAGAAAGATATGAAAACAATATAAAACAATATGTGCATTGCGCATCCTGAATTGATCCGGGGGGTATTATACATGAAACCAACACAATTAAATTGAGCACCAACTCGTCAAATCGTGACAAAATAACTTCAAAGCTCCTCTTCAAGAACTCCTTCGCCTCCAAGCTCTTGCTCCACTTCATCGACGACAAAGCTTTCGTAGTCCTCGAGACCTTTTTGAACATGTACTTTGAAACGAATCACGTCATTAAGCATTGTTTCGACATTAGTGTGCAACTCCTCTCGGAGAGAATTTGCCCGAAGCGTCAGTTGTTCGTATTCGATATTGGTGTTCATCTCGCGCTGCTCCATCAATTGTACACTGTCACTGAGCGTAGCGCGCATCTTCGCCAACTCTTTCTCCATCTTCTCAATTTGGGCATCGGAGGCAAGCTTCTGAGTAGTCGTGATTTCCTTTGTTCGTTCGAACTCTTCCTCTGCTGCCCGGCGTCGATGCTCCAGGGCTTCGACTTCGCTTCTTTTCTCATCCATTGCCTCTTTGATGTTGTCAAGTAGATTGCGACGCTCAAGGTCGTCATCGATCCCTTGCTTCCGTCGCTCATTGATCTCTTTTCGGAGTGATTGCAGGCTGTTTCGGACAGAGCCCCGTAGATCCAAACTGAGCAAATGCGCCGGGTGGTAGCCAGTGAAAGGCTCCGCCAATAGGCGATCACCCTCGGGAGAAATTCGGCTGGGAGGGCCACCAATCTGGCTCGCGGAGAAATTGCGCTCATTAATATTCAGATGAAGCTCATAGTCTTGGCCCTTGGCGTTCTCGGCAGCCGCGGGAATCAAGCTAGTTTGGTAGCCAAGAGTATTGTAAGCTTTCACGATCTGTTCCAGATCTTCCAGTTTCTGGCTTGCTTCCGCTTCCTTCTCCATGACACGGGCATGGGCCTCTTCCAGGCGAGCCACGGTATCTTCGAGATTCTTCTGCAGACGCTCTCGCTCCGAGTTCATGCGGTCGATATCCTGGATAGTGATGCCTTGGCGGTCGACACTTGCTTGGAGATCGGAACGCTCAGCTTCAGTGGCCTGGAGATCGGTGTCGGTTTTTTGGATCTCCGCATCGAGGAATTTGATGCGAGTCTCGTATTTCTCGATTTTGCCTTTGACGTTCTGGTTATAATCCTCAAATTTCCTCTTGTCATCTTCTAATATGCGGAAGTGTTTATCCAACTTGGCGATGTCGGGAGCACTCTTCTCCACTTCTTCGATCTGGTCGCGAAGAGCCCGGTTTTCCGCCTCTAGTGCCTCCATTTCCTGCACGTACCGCTCATTGCCATGAGCGAATTCTCGAGACATGCTTTCAACATGAGGAATCAATCGCTTCTCTGCGGTGTCATCATCCTCGTCTTCACCGCCCTGCAGCCAATCGTGGTAGGCTTGAGTGAGGAAGCGGAAAATAATACGATCACCGGAGACATCCACACCCACCTCGGCGCAGGCATCATCATATTCGCCGGACTGATAGCGATCCATCATTTGTGCCAACTGCATCAACCAATGCAGCATCCCGAGGAAGGTCGACCAGTTCTGGCCACCAACGGCTGCGATTTGTGACTTCGTAATGCCTTTCTCATAAGGGTATCTTAGCTGCTTCAGGATTGGCGGTACTTCGGAGTCCATTGATTTTTGGAACTTGTATCCTGGATCGATCCGGTGATAGAGCCACTGGAAGATAAAGTTGAAATCCTTTTGTGTCGGCGAGCGAAGAGTGTTCTGTCCCAAGGAATGTTTCATTTCCAACTCAAACCCATGAATAGTCAAATACTCCAACAATTCCTGGCCAATCCGTGCCTGGAAAGATCGGTCTCTGAGAGGGCGCGGGTCTCTGGGAACACCGGCCACGGTGGGAACTTGAGTGAAGAACGACTGATGTCCCATCGGCCCCCCTCCCGTGGATGGTCGCGAAAACACACTGCTTCTGCGCTGTGGGTTCTGAGGAGGAGCAGGATTGGAGGAAAGAGAGCCTGGCGCGTAGCTCTGCCGACTGGCACTGGCTCCATTAAACATGTTACTAGACACTGATCGGCGAACAGACGAAAGACCGGCATCAGCGCCATATGGCCCACCAATTGACATGCGTGTAAAATTGGGCTGCTGCGGGCGACCAGTGGAGCCCTTCAAGGAAGTTCGAAGGTGCTGAGAGCTGAACGGGGGGTTTTGGTATCCGATAGAGCTTGCGCGCTTCAGTGCCGACTGCGGTTGGGGGATGGCGGAGAAATTCTGCACACTCCCGAGAGTCTTGATCGCAGTATAAATTAGCCCCAAGTCTTGCGCTAGATAGGAGGGATCTATACTTCTCGGGGGCGCTTAATACTGAAAAGCCCAGTATCTTGCGACATGGTGATAGACAAGCCGCGAAGGCGGCAATAGACAAGGCGATTCTTTGACCACTTGATTTGGATATGGTTATGTCTTGACAAAAAATTCCAAGTGGGTTGCACCACAACATCCCAGAGGAGGGCTTTTGATCTGTTGTTTGGCAGGCACGAGGCGGGATTTGGGCCGACGATGTAAACAAATGCGTGCCACTTTCAAATGAGGTAGGCGGTGTATGCCAGAAGGAAAAACAGTTTCGCCGGTAATCACGAGACTCCCGCTCTGGGGAAGTCTTGGCGTTGGGGCGAGTTCCGAGGTCCAAATGGCGATTGCCGATGTGAGCGTCGCATCTCTCTCCCTAATTCATCTCTCCTACACTTCACTGGCAGTCGACATCAATCATAATGGCTCCACGTGAGGAGCTGATTGCTTCAGCTGTAAGTTGTCTATTGAGACATTAATATCTACTATCTCCGCTTTCGGGGCTACCGCTAACTCATCTGTCCGCTAGATTACCTGTATGGATTACGAGCCACACACCTTGGTGTCATGATAGCTGACTTTATCTAGTCCTCCAGGACCCCTCGGTTGCGTCTTCGCCCATCGAAAAGAGGGTTTCATTCCTCCAATCTAAGAACTTGACTCAAGAGGAAGTGGACATTGCCTTATCGCGAGTGGGCGAAGACCCGTCTGCCGCGGCCGCAGCTGTAGCTTCGGCATCCCCGGCGCCTAGCTACTCTTCACCAGTTCCTTACCGGCAACCACAGCCGCCTCAAGGATACGGCTATCCTCCATATAATCAATGGCAGCCGCCTCCTGAGTACGTTTAACTATCGACCGTGGCATCTTGCTTGAGACTAATCACATGGAAAGACCACCCAAGAGAGATTGGCGTGACTGGTTTATTATGGCAACAGTGGTGGGCGGAGTTGGTTATGGATTGTATACCGTCACAAAGGTATCTAGTTGCCCCCTCTCTCAAAACTAATGGCGCTGATCAATCCATCCAGCGTTATATCGCACCTTTGATCGCCCCACCGACCCCTCCTCAGCTGGAGCAAGATAAAGCGAACATCGATGAGCAATTCTCACGTGCTTTTACTCTGATTGAACAACTATCGACCGACACTGCTGCATTGAAGACCGCCGAGGAAGCCCGCTCCGAGCGCTTGGATGGGGCTCTCAAGGACGTGGAGAATCTTGTTGCTGATCTCAAGAACTCATCCCGCCGAAGAGATGATGAGACTCGTCGCATTAGCGACGAGGTGAAGTCGTTGAAGGATGCCATTCCCAAGGCCCTTGAAGGTGCCCGGGAAGGCAATGAGAACCGACTGAAGGAGCTCGGAACTGAGCTCAAGAGCTTGAAGACCTTGCTGGGCAACCGACTTGGTGGTAGCGGTGCTACCCCTGTTGCTGGCAGGACCGTTGGATCTACTCCCATCCCCAGTACTCCTCGCCCGGTATCGGAAGAGACCCCCGCTACTCCCGCTCCTCCTGCCGCTACCAACAGTTTGGCTGCTACTGTGACTCCAACTGAGCAGGAGCCTACTCAAGCCGCGGCCCCAGCAAGCACGAGCCAGAGCCCCAACCCCCTCTCCCAGCTTGGTCGGTCTGCCTCCATCCCGGCATGGCAAATGGCCGCGGCCAACCGGTCGAAGGCTAATTCGCAGTCGAGCGCACCTGCCACACCTGCTGAAAACACCGCTAGCCCGAGCGTGGAGCAGAGCGCTCCTGTCAGCTAAAGCTGACGGTTTGCTGAATTACTGGACGTTGTATACCTCTTCGCCTAGATGTATTTATCACAATGAAGATTTTTCCTTGAAATAATTACTCCATAATATAGAGCCTTTCTTTTCGTATAAATTAAATTGATAGTCGAATTTAGCAACATTAAAGAGGAAGACAGCGTCAGAATTGTTAGAATCGAAAACGCAGGGACAATCTTGGAAATCAGATGGCCGAACCGATAAGCCGGCCTGTCTTCCTTATCACCCCCATAAGACAAATTCCTCCGGACTTTCCAGGACCTTTCAACTGCGAAGGGACCAGCAAAAATGCCTTCACCAACTTGCTCCTCGCACCGAGCTGTCTCTCCCTCTGCGCCAAGCTCAAGCCGCCATCACCGCAGCCGCCACAGCCATTCCCACCGCCACCGGCCCCGAGAGAGCTCGCGCTCGCGCTCTCCGCACCGATCAGACAGACACAGATCAGACCGTCACCACCGCCGTGCCGAATACAAAGACCGCGGACACCACGAGCGACGACACAGAGATGCTCCAGCGAAACCGGTCGTGCTCCCTTTCCAAGCGCGCGAGCTCTCAGGGCGCGACCTGAAGGTTTACGAGCCCATGTTTGGCATGTACTTGGATATTCAAAAAGGAAAATATATCGACGACTTAAGTGTAGATGAGGTGAAAGGGCGGTGGAAGAGCTTTACGCAAAAATGGTAGGTCTGAGGGTGTTCTTTGCTTGGTCCGATAATTACTAACATCGCAGGAACCGTGGAGAGCTCGCGGAGGGATGGTATGATCCCGCTACACTCGCGAAGGCGCGCCAGAGTGCAGAAGACGAACCGGCAGCTGGCCCGAGAGGCGGACGCGAATCGCCTGATTATACGCAGGGCCAGCGAGCGACTGGTGACACCCTACAGGATCCGCCAGTAGACGATGACGACGACGATGAGGATGACGAGTACGGGCCTAGTCCGCCACAAGCTGGATCAGGGAGGGGTGGCCCACAAGCGGGCCCTGCAATCCCAACTATGCAAGATCTTGAGCTGAAAAGAGGTACGCTTTTCTACTTCCTCCAAATATAGCCAGAGTGCTGACTTCCCTCCAGAATCTGCTATTGAGGATGCCATCGCTGCCCGCGGTGAGTCGCGCGATCAGTATCGTGCCGAAATTCGGGCGCATAAATCTGCAATGCGCCATCTCCAAGACGAGATTGCACCGCGGGCCGAGGCGGGCACACGGGAGAGACAGCTCGAGAAACGGCGAGAAGCTGCTGCGAGCAATCGTGCATTCGCGGACGCGCGCGGTGCTTCGCCCGAGGCAGCTCGGGATGAAGATTTATTGGGCGGGGACAATGAGTTTGCTGCCTTGAAACGGGAAAAGGAGAAAGACCAGCGAAAGAAGAACGATCGGGAGATCCGTAGAGAGGAGATCCTTCGTGCACGTACAGCGGAGCGAGAAGAACGCGCGCAGGCATATCGACAGAAGGAGCAGGAGACTATGAGCTTCTTGCAAGCTCTGGCGAAGCAGCGGTTCGGCTGAAAACTAAAAAGGTGGTGTCCACGCGCCCTCTCGCTTGATATGAATATGCTTGTGTATCCTTTTATATCTATAAAGCAATAATGAAAATATGACCTACACCTCTATTGTGCTCTTCCAGTCGGCCCATCCGATCCAACGGAACGATCCGACACCGCTATCGGAGTGACTCCGAGGTATTTATACCAAACATGATCGCCCTTAAACAATGCCCGGGTTACCATAAACCCAGCATGTTCAAACAACTATTTCGCCTACCATGCCGGTCAACATTGACCTCATTAGCATCCGGTAGCCGGCGATATTTTCAGACTAAAAGGCAACACTCCCTACCAGCAGCGTACTACCGCGGTGGCACCTCACGCGCAGTCTTCTTTAAGGAAGAAGACCTGCCCGCAAACAAGAAAGACTGGGCTCCCATATTCCGCAGTGTAATTGGCAGTCCAGATCCCTATGGCCGACAGCTAGACGGATTAGGGGGTGGACTATCCAGCCTCTCGAAGGTCTGCGTAGTAGGCACATCGACGCATGACGAAGCTGACGTCGATTACACCTTCATCTCTCTGGGCATTAAGAACACCGACGTCGACTATTCCAGTAATTGTGGGAACATGAGCTCCGCCGTGGGCCCCTTCGCCGTCGATGCACACGTGTTCCTCTTACAGAATCCCAGCGCGCGTTCAACCTCGGTACGCATCCACAACACCAACACCGGCAAGATCATTCATTCGTCCTTCCCGGTTGTCGACGGTGAAGCTGCCGCCAGCGGTGACTTCGCTATAGACGGTGTCGCTGGTACAGCTGCCCGCGTCCAGCTCGACTTTATCAACCCCGCCGGCTCCGTCACGGGGAAACTCCTGCCTACCGGCAATGTTGTCGACACCTTTGATGGAATCAGGGCTACGTGCATCGACGTCGGGAACCCGTGTGTCTTTGTGCAGGCGCTTGATCTCGCCGTGAGTGGGAATTTGACTCCTGATGAGATCACTGCTCATCCGGATTTGTTGTCGCGCTTGGACTCTATTCGCCGGCAGGCGGGGGTTAAGATGGGCATTGCGGATGAGATTGGGGCGGTTCCCGGTAGTGTGCCTAAGATATGTATCGTGGCTGCCCCTTCTACTACTGATTCCAGAGATATCGAGCAGAGACAGACATCTGCTGATGTTGATCTTTTGGCTCGTGCGCTTTCTGTTGGACAGCCGCATAGGGCGGTCCCAATTACTGTCGCTTTGGCTCTTGCTGCTGCTGCTCGAGTGCCGCAGAGTACAGTGGCTGGCGTTGTGGACGAGAATCCTGTCGATAGTGCTGGGATTACTATTGGTCATGCCAGTGGGAATCTGCTGGTTGGTGCCAATTTCGATGTGGATGGAGCCTTAGCTTCTGCCACGGTCTTTCGTACAGCGCGTCGTTTGTTTGAGGGGCGTATTTACTGGAAGCACGTTACCTGAGTGAGTGAATGGTATTTGATTGTACAACATAAGTTGGGAGGAAGACTTCATGCTCGGTAGAACGAGCGCCATGAAGAGAAGGGAAAAGACCTGATTATATGAGATATCAAAATCGAAACTTTTATTCTTGTACATCACAAGTGGTATATCTACATCATTGTCTATTCTAACCCCAGCTCTAAGCATGTCTCCCGAGGTCAATATCAGCAACCAGTTTCATATCATCAGTACCAGCCCCGTCACCCAGGCCAAAGAACGGCTTAACAGCAACATCAACCACCTCCTCAAACAAGCGGCCAACAACAGCCTCCTTCAGATCCTCGCCAGTCTGTGCGAAATCCGGGTACGCGTTGAGCTCCAACAGCCATACATCCCCATTAGCATCAACGAGGAAATCGACACCAAACAGCTCAAACGCATTAGGCATAGTCTGGAAATGAACCATCATACCCCGGGCCGCGGCCTCAAACACCTCACCCGTCACCGAGCAGATCTGCTCAAAGATCTTCTCCTTCCAGTCTGCACTGAGACCGGGGACGTGATGGTCGAGGTCCCAGAAGCGGCGCACACTGCCTTCGTTCGAGCTGCCGCCTTCCTGGAAACAGGTGTTGGTCAGATGGCGCGCGAGGTCGGCGACGTCGTCTTCTTCGTGCGGGGGGCAGTAGGCCTTAGCCGCGAAGAGCGCGAGCATCTCCTTGAAGACGTACACTTTGAGCGAGCCCGATGCAAGGACGTAGGTGCGGATGTGGAATTTGCGGTTCGAGGACGATGGGAGGAGGAGGGGAGGGTCGATATAGGGTTGTGCGAGGAAGTGGCGGAGTTGTGAAGTGACGATGCCTGTGTCTAAGGCGGTGCTGACGTCGCCTTCGGTGTCATCTGCGTTTGTCTCGGATCCGCTCTCGTCGTCTGAGTCTTCTTCCCACTCCTCGAAGATCTCGCGTAGCTGGTCTTCGCTGTTGAAGATGCGGATACCCTGACCTCGATCGCTCATGCCGGGCTTTAGGATCCACCATTCTTTTTCGGAGTCGGGTCGCTCTTCGTTCTTAGCTAGGCTGTCGTTCAGCTCGTATGCTTCTAGCAGTGCGTCGTCGAGGAATTCGGCATAGTCGAGTTCGAAGTCGAAGGCGGGCTTGAAGTGGTGTCGTAGGACGCTATCTGGGTGCTTTGATATCCAATTTGCCACTGTGTTGGAGAGGTAATGCTTGCGAATCAAAGCTTTCCGGATGATGTAGGCGCTCGAAAGAGACGTCGAGGGCATGGACATGATATGCTCGAAGTCGAGGCGCTCATATTCGCGGTACTGGAAAAGCGGCGCAGAAGTCTCCGGTAGTTCAGACACAGAAGACACACGCTTGGAGGCACTTCCCAGGCGACGAGTCAATGCCCGGTCAACCATTTCTTGCACGTAGGAGTCATCGCAGTCGACGAGGGAGTACAACGAAGGCTGATTATCCGATCTACAAAACCTCCGTCTATCAGAAAGCCGATACTTGAAGAAAAGCAGATCAAAGGGGAGGGGACATGGTATCTAACAGCTAAGCCAGATATCTAAAGTGCATGCAACATGTAGATTTCGGATAGAACCCTCCATACCATGCCCCCCATCGCGTCAAAGTCTTCACTCACAGCTTAATCTCCCCCGAAATACCGGGCGCGAGCATGAAATTGGCCTTGAGAGGCGTGACACTGTAAAAGTCAGTCAGTGTTCATAAGTAAAAAGAGTGGAGGGACAAACCTAGTCATTTGTTCCTTAACTGTCCAGCCATCATTCCCAGGCTCACTTTCCTCCACGCTTCGGTAAACGTCCTGGAAGCTCGGCGCCCACTTGAAATGCTTGTGTTGAATTCGGGTTCCATTGGATGACTTCTGGCTAGTACCGACAGTCTGATCCGGTTTCTTTCCTGCCATCTCGCCTTCGCTGCGTAGGTGCTGTTCTTGCAAGTCAGGGTCCTCTGCAGATATGGGGTCGACAGCCTGGAAACAGCTCCCGGATGTCCACGTATTCTGCAGCATATTGGTATATAA